GGAATTAATAACCCATCATTAGAGAGGGGCTGTATTTGGAAAGTTGTTTAGTCTGAATTTCTGTGCATAAATAACAATGGTAAAAGTGCAGTGGGAAGTGCTGGATTTGTGGGACACCACCGAGCACCCAGGCTTGGGCTCCTCTGGAATTAATAATCAACATCTCTGTGAAATATTTAATTATTGGTTTGTTGCACACCGGATAACGAACCCGATTTTGGGGACAAACAGTGCAAATCTGCTCATTTGACGTGTCAGGGGCTCCCAGGCCACATCCCCCCTCCACACCAGCACAGCTCTCAGCAAGGTGCCTTTATTTACAACACAAGTGAGTGAAAATGAAAGCAGACAGGCAGACAACAGCCAGGGAGTGTGGCGGGCACATCACAGGTTGTAAAGTCATAAAGACACTCTACAAATAAACTTTGATTTGGGTCTGGGTAAATACTGTAACAGGTTTGGTTTGGGGCTGGTTAGACACCGTAGAGCCCCGTGGGTTCCAGTTTTGGGGAACAGAGGGGAGCACTGGGATAGTGAGAGTGGGAATGGGAATAGGAAGGAGCTGCTGAACCCAGGCAGAAAACTCCTCAGCCCCTAAATTCCCCCAAAGCTGCAAGAGATGTTTGTAAAAACCACAGACTGGTGAATGTTATCCCTAATAACAACCAGCACACCTTGCCCAGCTCTAACACTGTCCATCTAATGTAGAAAAGGGATTCCAAGGACGTTTGTTGTAGCAGCTGAGGCCTCACTGCTCAGTCTTCCTTCCCAGGATGTCAGGGAGGATTCTCAGGGAATAAAAGCAGGGCAACACAAAGGCACGTTGTGGTTTCTAAGGTGCAAGAGTGCCTCTGCTCAAACACCTCCCTGCCCTCCGTTCAGTCACTCTGGGCACTTTCATCTTCCAGAGAAGCCGTGCTCACATTTCGCAGGTGAGGAGATGAAGAAAAGTTCTTTGTTCATGGGGCAAGATCCTCTTGCTTTGCTTCACCGAAGGGAATTCACAACTCATGTAAATTCACCCTCTTTCCGTGCAAGACTTTCAGGTTGAGCAGAGGAACCACACTGGCAGCGTGGGGCGTCTGTAATCCAGCTTTGTTCTAACACCCCAAATTACAAGCTTTCACCAGCTGCTTTGGAAGCACCTGAGAGGAAAGATTGTAAGAAAAACAAACATCCATTACTCAGGGTTATTGTCAAAAACCAAAATAATAGAGGCAACTGCTGACCTCAGAAGCTGTGGGTAAAATTTATGCTGACACGTTCAAGCAAAGACAGTGAATATGGAAACAGTGCCAGTCTTCCTGCTGCAATTTTAAAACAATAAAGGTTAAAGTAATCAAAAAGCAGATTCAAAACTGACAAAAGGGAAGTAATTCATTCCTCTTTATCTACAAAGCAGGAATGCCTTGGAAGGCAGCAACAATGGCTTTCCTACAAATGCTCCTCAACACCAGGGTGGGGAAATCTCTTGTACATTTGAGAGGCTGTGATTGTTCAGCTGTCTCTGAAGGATCCTCAACAGCAAAGTGTGACTCTGGCCTCACTTCTGACTGCGAATAGCAGGGAAATACCCGAGGGAATCTGTCTTGCAGAGTCTACAGAAACACCGAGGCATTCATTAGAGAAGGTTTGGATGGGTACCTGCATTGTGCACACCAGCAAAAACCTTTAATCTTCCAATGGAATGGGTTCCTTTTCTTCCCTCATCTTCAGGCTCTCCTTTTCTTTTCTGTTATAAAAATGAGAGGGGAAAAAAAGAAAAAAAAAAGCCCAGATCAGTGTCAGGCTGAGCAGCAGGAGGTCCTGAGTCACACACAGCACACTCAAGGTAGGATGGCGAGTGTGCCACACGTGTGGTGACCACAGCTCAGGGGACAGGGTGGTCACCTGCCCTCCACCACCACAGCAGCTGCATCCTCTGCACGAGGAGCTGCTGAGAAGGGCAAGAATCAGAAGAGGACTCCAGAGCTTGTCCATCCTGGGGCTCTGCTCTGCCTGCACACAGCCAATTATCGCTAATTGGGTTGGCAGTTTTGCATTGCAGATGCTCCGTGCAGGGTCCAAGCCAATAATTCAGAACGGCTTTGGAGATAAACTTGTCAAGTTTACTTCAGGCTCTCCCAGGAGCCTCTCCCTCCCTTCCGTGTTCTCACCCCTCAGTGTCTGACCCCTCCAGCCTCTTGTCTCGCGCTCTCCTGCGACGCTGGCGACAGATGATCACGGCTGTCACCACGATGATCATCAGCACAGAGGCTGAGCCGATGGCCACCACCAGGAAATGGATTTCTGAGAAACTCACTGCGGGGAGAGAGACAGAGGGATGAAGCAGAGGGACACACAGGAGGAACGAGGCTGGGATCCTAAATAAAACCTTTCCTCAGGCTCGTCTTTTCCCCCTCATGCTTTCTACTTACACCCCCTTTTCTCCCCTAATTTTCCCAGAAGTGGAAGAAGGACACTCTGGTTAAATCCACACAAGCCCTGGGGGCGTTCCTTGGCCTCTCACCTTTCTGCACAACCCGGAGCCGCACCTCCCCGATGGTGCCATAGACATCTGGCCAGTTTGTCACCTGGCACGTAAAGGTCCCGTTGTCACTGGGCTGCAGGTTCCAGATGATGATGGAAACATCGTTGCGCTCAATGTTCCCATCCCAGGTGACTCGGTCTTTAAACCTTCCCGAGGGGGGCTTGTAGGGCTCCTTCTGGTAGTAAAATACCTACAAAAATCACAGAAACATCGAATGGCCTGGGCTGGAAGGGACCTGGAAGATTCCTGAAGTTTTGTCGGGTGCCGGGCTTCGCTGTGGTGTCAGCAGACCCAGCTTCGTAAAGCCACAAATATTTTACCCCAGATCACCCAAGACTAAACACGAGAGTGTTTTTTAGGCAGGGTCTATAAACAGGGCTCGGATTAATCACTACGAGTGACGAAGCCCCAGATGGACTTGTGGGTTTGGGGTGTGTCCGTACCCACTCTCTGCTCCGCGGCTCTTGGGGCAGGGGGGAAGCCGTGGCACGGAGCACAGAGATCTCACTCACCAGCTCATGTGAGCTCAAGTCCTCGGGCTGGAAGTTCCAGCTCACGGACAGCTGCTGGCTCACGGGGTTGCTGCTGGAAAAGGTGCATTTCAGCCTCTGGTTGGTGCCGTTCACGGCCACCACCTCCTTGGCGGTGTGAACTTCCACTGCTGCCGCCAGCCACAGCGCTGCAGGGCAAGCACAGGGGGAAAATCACTGTCTGCAGCGAGCTCATCACTGCTCCTGATCTGCTCCTGGGAGCCTGATCTGCGCCGGCAAGATTATTGCAGTGTCTCAGGCACATTCCTACAGATTCCTTCAGAAAAACCCTTCCAATCTGGACCGAATCCCACCCAATAATTGCTATTTCCCGTGCTAGAACTTCCCTTTATGCGCTTTCCACTCTGCCTCGTGCACGCCACGGTGAAACTGCTCTCACTGATAAATCCAGAGCCAGTTTTAGAGGCTTTATAGCCCAGCAGGGCAGCTGCAGGTAAATTCACTCGGACTGAAGAATTCTAGAGGAAATCCTCAAGGTAAATGTGGATTTGTTTTTCCAAGAATCATCCCCACAACCACCATGGCTGCTGCTTTATGAAAATAAGTGAGCATCTCTCACTCGATGCTCCCGTGAAAGAGGGACAAGCAGCAAGAGGGAGAGCAAGGAAAAGAAAGGAGGAAAATGGAAAATAAGAAAAATGGTTTGCTGGTGAAGGAAATAGAAAATATCCATATCCTGTCACATCAGGAAGTTAACTCACCCCCATGTGATTCATGCAAAAAAAAAAAATACACCTTATCTAGGGTTGTCTAGGGTGAACGTCATAATAAAGATGTATTTGGAAGCAATTTACCACTAAATACTTTCTTCCAAATAATTCCTTATTTCAAATAGAAAAACACATGGAATGCCAGAACATTGAAGGTATTCACACGTGAAGAGCCTCATGGGCAGAGATCACGTTGCTCATACACGGATTCGGTGTCAAATCTTTTCATTTTAAACTCCTTGAAAATAACTAAGCGAGAAATAAGAGCAAAATATTTCTTTTTTTCAAGGCAGATTACATCCGTGTGTTGATGCATTTGGGAAAGGAAGATGTGTTATTCTTAAAATCCAGGAGTTTTGATATAAACCACTGAAAAGTGAAGTGTCGCTCTGGAACCTTTGCTGTGTAAGGGATCTGAAGCCGGGGCTCCTGGACAATCCCTGATTGTTTAGGAACAAAGGTAGCGAAATAAAAAAAAAAAAAAAAAAAGGCTGGGAGTAAAGTTCAGATTCCTGGCAGGAGAGAAAAAGACATTGAAACCCGAGCTGAGGAGATCAGTGCAGGAGATCGGCGATCTTCGCTCGAATACGCCCAAACCTGTTGGGGAAGAAACTCAACAATTTCGTGCCACTTCCAGCGAACCCCGCGCGGAAAGAATCGCAGCAAGGACTGGGGAAAAGCCTCTGCTTTAGGGATAATTTCAGGGATCAGAAGAGGGAAGAAGTGAGGCCAGGTTTCCTTACCTCGGAGCTGCGCCCCAAGGACGAGCGCAGCGCCCAGCCAGGTGCGGCCGCGCATCGGGGACACAAATCCGGGGCTGAAAAGACAAATCCGCTCCGGCTCCTCGGTGACCGGGTGGAAAATGAGTTCCTCAAAGTCTTCCCAGCCCAACGGGGCAGATTCCTTGCCTTGCCCAGAGCGGCCTGCCCGAGTCAGGGCTCGCTCCTTGCCAAGGTGTGCCCAGCCCCGCTCACTTCTGCCGGAATCAGCGAGATTCCCAAGGTAAGATTAATTTCTTCTCCCTCCCATATTCCCCGGCTCTTTTGTGTTGCAATCATTCCTCCTCCCAGCCGCCACCCGAAACCACTCCCCTCTTGGGGGAGGTAAGAGAACTTTTGCCTGGAGGTGCTCATAGGTGGCTCGAAGGAATGAGGGCCATTTGTTCGGCAAAAAAACCTGCAAACGATCCTAAAAAGAGCAGCCCAAAACTGACAGTCCACGGCCGCAGTGCGGGCCCCTCATCCAGAGGATGGAAACGCCCCACCAAGCAACCCTAAAATGATTTGAACGTTCCTTGGCTGCAGCCGAGGATTGGAAGCCTGGTGCTTGGGAAGCTCTTGGAAAAATCAAGAAATCTTGGGAAATGGGTCCAGCCCGGCACAGCTGGGTAACGCCGCGGAGCTCCACAGGTGAGAAATTCCACGGAAGACAAAATATTCCTCAGGAGGCATGTGGCAGGTGCGAGAGTGTGAAACCAATTTGCCTGTGCGTTGGGAAAATGAGGATGTTTGCATTCGAGGGCCATAAATCAGTGGCCGTGGCTGTGTTTGTGTCTGGTTCGCGATCCCGTCCCAGGAAGCCATCTCAGGTCACCGCTTCCAGTTGTGGTTTCCTTTGCAGGGGTGCAAGGGGACAGTGCCCAGACCTCTGGGTGTTTGGGGGGCGGCTCCCTTCAGCGATTTTGGGATGGAAAAACAGCACTGAGGCCGTCAGCTCCCTGGATTGTCCCCAGAACAGAGCAGGGAATCCTGTGTGTGCTAACACATCCCTGCTCTCAGCTCGGGGACACCAAGCATCTCCATTTTCCTGGGAATTATTTGGTCCCGTGTTAACCCCTCATCACTTCCTCTCCTCACATTCCCACTCAGATGCTATTCGAACATCTCACCTCCTTTTGTTTCCTCGCCATTGTGAATATTTATCACTATGGGGCTTTGTTCAGGTTCTATTTAAATTTTAGCAGCCAATTTGCTGCCACTTTCTAACCCTGTTTCTGCACAGGGTTGGGAACACCCCCTGTTTCCACCTTTACCTGCAGACTTTTAATCTTCATCTTCTTCCAAAACATGTGGACTCCAAATTTTAAGAGAAGACCACAGAGGGTGTCCCTGGCACACTCACCTGTATCCTAAATTCTCTGATGTTCCACCTGGAAACATAAAAAAGGAAAAGAAAGGCCAAAGAGAGCACCCCAATAAAGGGAGCGGGGCACAGCAGCATCCCTGTGTCTGTGTCCGTGCCAGCATCCCTGCGGGCAGCAGACCCGGGATGCCCCCGGCCCGGTTCCCCGGGCTCTGTGGCTGCCCCAAACCCCGGCTGGGCGGTTCCGTGCCCGGCGTGCGGCGCTGGCCGGGCCAGGAGCCCCCTCTAGTGGGACCAGGACACTTCCACGGGAACACCCGAGCGGGAGAACCTCCCAAAAATGCTGCTGGGACATCTCCGGGAGGGCGCAGGGCATGGGCAGGGAGCCCAGGCTCGGTTCTGTGCTGAGATTTGGGCGGTGATTCTGGTTCCTTCATTCCAACCTGCCCGTGCCTGAACTGGACCTGCAGGGAAGATGGAGAGGGGCTTTTCATCAGCAGGAATAGAACAAGGGGGAATGGGCTCAAACTGCCCAGGGTGGGGTTGGATGGGATATTGGGCAGGAATTGTTCCCTGGGAGGGTGGGCAGGCCCTGGCACAGGGTGCCCAGAGCAGCTGTGGCTGCCCCTGGATCCCTGGAAATGTCCAAGGCCAGGCTGGACAGGGCTTGGAGCAGCCTGGGATGGTGGAAGGTGTCCCTGCCATGGCAGGGGTGGAATGGGATGGGCTCTGTGGTCCCTTCCCACCCAAACCCTCCTGTGGTTCCACGCGAAGTCGTTTGCTGCAGTTGGAACTTCTCAAGCTCTCACTTGTTGGGAAGGTCCTGATGGCAAATCTGATTCCGGCTCGTTTCTCTCTCCTGCTGCTCCCAGGGCATCTCCAGGAGCTGTCCCGAGCCCTGCAGAGCTGGAGCAGAGCACAGCAGCCACCCCTTGGTGCGGTGACGTCCCATGAAGACATTTTGAGCCTCCGCACTTCCTGACCTGGGCTTATTTCACGTGTCTGGGTCTGCCTTGGCTGCTCTGGAAAGAGTGAGTCCCCCAGCCCTGCCCGGCTCGGTAGCAATTCTGGGAAAAACAATCCCAGGCCTCTTTCTAGAAAAGCCACCGTGTTTTTTCCTGCCCCAGCCATGCCAGTCTGATGTGGTGGAGAGGAGCAGCGGGAGGAGGAACGCGAGGATGAGGCTGGAGCAGACCCTGCCCCTGCTGGGGCTCCTGCTGTGTGCAGGTGAGTCCCCAAACCTCAGGCAGCAGGGTGGGAGCTCGGTGCAGTGTGAGCTGTGAGGTCCCACGCTCTTAATTTTGGTTTTATCCTTCATCCGTGCACTTTTCTTGAAGCGTTTGGTGACCCTGGGTCGGTAACTCAGGGCTTGGTGGGGTATCAGGGGTGTGGTGGCCGTTCCCACCTGAGCAGCTGGAATGCCCCCTGGCTCAGGATGAGGTGCAGAGCACCTGTAAAGGCTCTGAAGAAACCAGAAATGAGGAGAGGGAAGTGTGAAAGTCAATCCATTAAGAGTTGTTACAATACTGCTATAAATACTCTGCCAAAGTGCAGAGTACCAGTCTTTGAGAAGATAGAAAACACGGTCTATCAGTGGCCTGTTCTTTTTTTTTCATATTTAAATTTATCTATGTAAAATAAAAAAGCATCGGGTCTCCTTCTCTCCAGCCGAGTCCATTGTGTGTAGAATTAAAATCTTCAATCACTCATTTATGTTACGTTTTGCAGAAAAGACAAATGTCTTGAAAGGAAATCACAAACCTGATTCACACCTCCTAAAAACTCTTTCTTTAATATTCCAGCTCCGGATCCTCTCATGGAGCAAGTTGTTTCCTACAAAGCAGGAAATCCACACAGATAAACTCTTTTACAACTTTAAATCCACACCAGTTGATTAAATCATCTCCAGCGAGTTCTCTTGCAGAGGACAGAGGTTCTTACCAGGATTTTCCAGCACCGTTTGCTCCATGATAATAAAGCAGAATTTCGGGGTTTGCATCTTGCAATAACAACTTTTTTTCTGAGCTGGGCTGGAAAATGATTCAAGTTTCCATTCTGTGTTAGGCTGTGTTAAAAATGGCTTCCAAGGTCAGAACAACATCCTGTCTCACCACCAGAACGTTTCTGATGCCTTCAGCATGAATGTGGATTATAAACAACTCTTTCAAGCAGCTGAGCTCAGAAAGGATGTCCTGGGAGTAGGAAAGGTGTGTGATATCTGAAGCTCAATTAATTAACATTTCTTTTTTTTTTTTTTCAGTTGGCATCACAGCTCAGGAGGGTAAGTGTATTTTACCGCCATCCTTAATTATTTATCATGCTAAAAACCCCAAATATGCATCAAAAAGTGAGGACTAAGAGTTAAATTGAAAGATTTGATTTTTTAAAATATTGCAGGATAGGAAAAATTCACTGTTCATTAGTTGACAGTGATCTTACTGATATTGGTCCCTAATTATCACCAGTGTTGGGCATTTCCAACAGCATCAAGCAGTGAGGCAATGGTGAGATCATTTTTTAATGCTCTTTATTTTCTGTTTTGCAGATAAAGAAGTGGAGGGTAAGTGAATTTTCGTATTAAAATTTCTTTAGCATTCTTTAGTATTTAGCGGGATATAAAGACTGTAGCTGGCTAAAAAATGGGTAGAAATGGTTGAGTTTTGCCCTTGGTTTCCTTTCTCATAGGTGTGTCCTCCCAAGGGGAATTCCTGGTGGAGATTTCTGGCACCACGGTGACAATCACGTGTCCCTTTGAGGACGAGGACATCCGATGGGAGCTGTTTGGGACGGCAGGGGACACCAAGGAGAGGAAGTTCATTATAAAGGACCACGACAGCTCCCCTGCCAACCTGAGCTGTTCCTCGGGGAGTCAGAAGCGCCAGCTGTACCTGAATGCCAGAGGTGAGTGCAGCCCCTCACCCTGCCCATTCCAGGGGCAGCTTTGGGGAGCTGATATTTGTTTTTCAGTGCTGTCTGTGGGCCCTTTGCTCCCACCTCATCACATTCCTCGGGGATTCTTTCTTATTCCAAATGAGGCAGAGAGATGGGACTTCTGGTTGCTTAGAAAGCGCTGTTTATTTTTCTTATTTTCTACAGAAAACGTGAGGTTTTGTTACAGGTATTGAGAGCGTGACCAGAAGTCACAAGACTTATGGTTATAAGATTTTTTAAGGACTTATTAACCAATAAAATACTGCCGACAAGGATATTTATGTTTTTAATCCAATACCAAGAAATTTCCTTTAATTACTGTGTGACCTTTCTCAGCCAATCCTGTTCGGACACACAAAGCTATTCTGTCACCTTTGCAACTATTTTATTCTTTCTATATCTTAAACTTTATAAGGAAGCTTTTTTTCCTACTTAACAGTCTCTGCTTCAAACTTTAAATTTACATTCTTATTTCCAGCACCTAAGCTTGGAAGCTTTCCCCGAGGCCTCAGTTCAAATCCCGTGTTCTTTCCCAGGCTTTATTTACAGTTTTGAGAATTTCTTGCGTTCTGCACTCCTACACTGGCGTGGGTGAATGTGGCCATTCCTGCTGTGTGTGGGCAGTGACAGAGCCCTGGGGCCGATGTTTGGCATCTCCCCTTTCCTCTCAGCTTGCCCTTTGCCCGTAGCCCTGTGCCAGCCCTCAGGTGAGGCAGACCTGGGGCTCTGAGCATCTCCCCTGCCCTCGTCCCTGCAGTGTGTGCCAACTGCGAGGAGCTGGACGCCCTGACGGTGACAGGGATCATCACTGCGGACCTCCTCATCACCCTGGGGGTGCTGATCCTGGTCTATTATTTCAGCAAGGGCAGGAAGGGACGAGCCAGCTCTGCTGGGGACCGCCGGCCACGAGGTGAGAACCGTTCCAGGCATCGCTGCTCCCCGTGACATCCTCTGAGCACCCAGTAAAACCTTCACCCCCACGGCGTGACAGAGCATCCTCTGCTCCCCACGGGCTTCCAAACAAGGCTCCTGCTTCCCTGGTGTGCTCTCCAGGCTGCCTTTGTGCAGGGATGGGGGTGGCTGCTGTGCCAAAGCTTCCTGCACATGGGAACTCCTTTCCCAGGCTGCTGTGCTGGAACCCTCCAGCTCCTGGCAGTTCCCTCTTCCAGAGCTCGGGATAAACCCATGGGAGTTGATCCATGATGTGCCTGGCCTTGGAGTCAGCCTGGAGCTCCCTCGTGGCTGGAATCCCCAAGGATTCACCCTGTCTGTGCTTCTGTTTCAGGTCAGAAGACGCAGCGTCCTCCCCCTGTGCCAAACCCGGATTATGAGGTGAGGATTCTCCCTGAGCTTTCCATCCCTGCAGGCTGGGGAGGGACAGCCAGGGCTGGGGCTGGGGCTCACAGCCAGGTCATTCATCCTTAAAGAAGCTCCAAATTTTCCTGGCAGTGGAGGAAAAAGGTGGTGAGGGTGCAGCACCTTTTCCTGGTGCTGCACAGGGGTTTGTCTGGGAGCAGAACTGCAGCTCCCTGTGCTCTGCCCCTGCTCTGTTGTGCTTTTCTCCATGTAAAAGGCTCAGGTGAGCCTGTGTGGGCTCAGGTGAGGATTCCTGACCCGAGGTCTCTGTTGTTCCCACAGCCCATCCGCAAAGGCCAGCGGGAGGTGTATGCAGGCCTGGAACCCAGGGGCTTCTGAGATTCCCGGGAATAACAGGCTAGAAGCAGCAGCACTGGGGCTAAACGCTTCTGCCCAGCTCGTTCCCAGCTCTGCTGAGGCTCTGGCATTTTGGGATAAGCCACAGGATGGGGATGCACCATCCCACCCTGGGGTTTACCATCAGGGAACAGAAACGGGCACATTGGCAAGAGATTTCCTTCTCAATAAAGGACTGCAGCCTCACTGGTGCTTCCCGGTCTCCTTTTCCATTCACACTTCTCTCTGCTCCCGTTGCTTTTCCCTCCAGTTTCATTTCTGCCCTGAGTGCCCCCACTTGCTTCTGGTGGTTCCCTGGGCTGAGAGCGGATCCTTCTCAGGGGGATTTGCCCCTGACCTCGTCCTGCTCTCACCTCCACAGCCTGACCTTCATCTGCAGGCAGCAAAAACTCCCCCAAAAACGGCCCAGCAGCAATGGCACAGATGAAGAAGGGCCGTGGGTTGCTTTGATGCCCGTTTCAGGTCGCAGCCACCCCCTGAGCAGAGGAACAGCAGCAGAGCAGGGGCTGGGGTGGTTCAGCAGCAGCAGGGGAGGACCCAGCGGCTCCAGGATGTGGTTTGGAGGCACAGCTGGGTTTATTTACCACAACAGCCCCTACACCCCAGCAGGGAGATGGTGAGATACACACAGCACAGCCCCCAGCAGCTCCAAAACCACTCGGTGCATTCTCACCTCCTGCAAGCCAGAGCTGCTGCAGGGACTGCTCAGCTCCCCAGTGTGGTGGGAGAAACTTGGAGCACTCTGAGTGTACAGGGCCTGAATTTTGCTTCAAAAAACATCCTAAATTCTGCTACACCTCAGTGCTTCTGCCACCATTTTCAGGGTACACCAATGTACGAGTTTGCCCCAGCGTTTGCCCCAGGCAGTGCCATCCCACACATTCCTGGTCTCAGCAGCATCAGCACAGAGTGGCAACAGCTCTGCCTCTCTGCTCTCCTGCAGCAGGGGAATATTTCTGTGTCCTTCCAAGGGTGAGGTGATGACTGTCTGGTGTCTGTGTCCCGTTTTGGGGACTCAGACCACATGAGCTGTTTCTGCTTGGGGCTGGGGAGTGGAGACCTGGCCTTGCCAGAGACCAAACCCCATCCCATGGGCACCTTCCCAGTGACCAAACCTCATCCCACGGGCACTTTACAAGACACCAGATCTCATCCCTTATGTGCCTTCCCCAGGACCTGGACACAACAGATGGGGCAGGGAGGCTGGGACAGGCTCATCTTTAATGGCAGGAATACAGAAGTGCAAGAGGTCATGGAATGAGCACAGGGCCACAAGCTGGAGGGATCTCCAAGCCAAACCAGCACGGTGATGGATGAAGACAGTGTCAGATGTTCCCACTTCACTTGCGGGCACGGGTGGGAGCCAGCCGGCTGTACTGCTCATTCTCCCGCTCTCCCAGGGGCTGGGAAGGGGAAAAAGGGGAGACATGAGCCAAAACTGCACCTGCCCAGCCCTGGGAGGGCGAGCTGGATCAGCCTTTGGCAAGATTCTCTCCATACTGAGGTGCTGAAGGTGTCCCCACACACACACAGGGATGGTGAAGGTGTCCCCACACACACACAGGGATAGTGAAGGTGTCCCCACACACAGACAGGGATGGTGAAGGTGTCCCCACACACACACAGGGATAGTGAAGGTGTCCCCACACACAGACAGGGGTGCTGAAGGTGTCACACATACAGGGATGCCCTCACACACCCACAGAGGTGCCCCCACACTCACCTGGTAGAGCTCATTGGCGATCAGGTTCTGCCTGTCAGAAGCTGAAGGAAGAAAGAAGGTCAAGGATCAAGGGAGCCACGGGCAATGTGGGGAACATTTACAAACAAACCCAGGAGCTGGCTGCAGCCCCTGGGTGCCACACACAGCCCCCAGAGGTGCCAGGCACAGCCCTGGGGGTTCTCCTGTCCCTCACCTCGTGACGTGTGGCTCCTGTCGTGGCCACTGATGCAGTACACGGCCACTGCCAGGAGCAGCGTGGCCAGCACGTCCGCGATGACGATGCCTGAGATGGTGGGAGCGTCCACCTCGATGCAGTTCTGGCACACTGCAAACCCCAAAGGACACGGACACTGAGGGCAGGGGCACACCCGGAGTGCTCAGCCAGCTCAGCCCGTCCAACACAGAGCAGCTGGGTTTGCTGTGTGACCCAAGCTGCCATGTGTCTCCCACACCCCGTGCAGGGCTGGAGCAGCAGCTCGTGGCACTAAATAAGGCTGCAGAGCTGTCACAGCGACACCACACAGAGACCGGTGGAGACACTCCCAGACGAGGGGAAATTCCCTCAACACTTGGCTTGGGTGAAAACTCCAAGCAGTTCTGGCTCTGGAAAAGCAGGTGTGCAGCACTTACTCCGATAGTGCACCTGGAGGCTTATCTTTTGGCCTCCTGTTTCACACACGTAGAGGCCTCTGGGGTCGTCATAAACCGTGCTCAGGTCCAGCTGTGCTTCCTGTCCAACACTGCTCCCATCCTTCCACCAGGTGATGCTTTTGTCGCCTGTTTTGCTTTGCACACATTCCAGGAACACCTTCCCACTGAATTCCTTCACGTATATCTGCCCTGGGAAGGGAGAAGAGAGCAGAGGGCTTCACCTCTGAGTTATGGACAGCAGTGCAGAGCTCACCTTCATGGGGATGAAGCATCCCATCAGGCTGTCCCAAAAAAACTGGGCAAAGCACGCTCCCCCATCCTTGTTGCACTGATTCCTTTTTCCCTATCGACATTCCAAACCTTCTCTGGTGGAAAACCTCACCAAGCCTTGGGGCTCCCTCCCGGCATGACCCCACACCTGCGGACTCACCTCGGACCCCCCAGCTGGCCACGGCCAGGCTGGCCAGCAGTGCCCAGGCACTCAGGACCTTTCCCCTCGCCATGGCACGGCGGTGCTGGCGCTGTCCCCGCTCTCTGGCAGGACGTGGGGAGGGAGAGCTGCTCACCACGAGGCACCACCCGCCCGGGGCTGCGTCAGGGACCGGATGCCGGGGGCTGATCCTCCCTCCCCCGGCAGCCGGGGATGGATGAGATGCATCTCCAGCAGCCAGGGACTCTCTGCAGCCAAGGGCTTCCAGCAGCCACGGACTCCCAGGAGTCAAGGACCGCTGAGTCCCTGCACAGCCACCGAACCCAGCAGCATCCATAGGTCCCCAAGCATCTGTGGAGCTCCCGAAGCATCTATGGAGCTCTTCAGCATCCATGGAGACCCCTAGCATCCACTGAGCCTCTCGGCATCTATAGAGCATCCCCAGAGTCCCTCGGCATCTATAGAGCATCTCCAGCATCCATAGAGTCCCCCAGCATCCAAGGAGCCCCCCAGCATCCCAGTGTCCCCAAACCCGATCCTTTCGGCATCTCTATGTCCCCAAAACCGCGGGATCCTCGATCCCTCCGGCATCTGCGTGTCTCCATAACTGGGTTCCTCGATCCTCTCGGCATCTCCGTGTCCCCATAACCGCGGGATCCCCGATCCCTTCGGCATCTCCGTGTCCCCAAACCCGCGGTCCCCGTCCCTCCCGTGTGCGCTGTCCCCGCCCAGTCTCGAACCCGCGGCCCGCCCATCGAGCTCCGCGCCGCGCTCCCGTGTCCCTCGCGGCCGCCGTAGGGCGCGCAGCCATGGCGGCGCGGGAGGGCTCGCTGGTGGCGGCCGTGCTGGAACACTCGGGCCGGCTCGACAAGGAGCACCTGGGAGCCCGCGTGGGGCGCCTCTCCCGCCGCGTCGAGGAGCTCAAGGCAAGGGACGGGCAGCGGAGGGGGCGCGGGGCGAGACGTGGGGATGGCACTGCGGCGGAACCGGGCAGGACTGAGTGTCCAGCCATGGGTTAGCTCGGGTGTCCAGCCATGGTTTGGACCGGGTGTCCAGTCCTGGGTTAGCTCGGGTGTCCAGCCATGGTTTGGACCAGGTGTCCAGTCCTGGGTCAGCTGGGTCAGAGTGCCCAGCCTTGGTTCAGCCCCGGGTGTCCGGTCCTGGTTAGTCCCGGTGTTCCCAGCCCTGTTCCATCCCGGTGTTCCCAGCCCTGTTCCATCCCGGGGTGTTCCATCCCGGAGTTCCCAGCCTGTTCCATCCCGGAGTTCCCATCCCTGCTCCGTCCTGGGGTTCCCAGCCCTGCCAGGCTCTCTCACCCCGTCCCATCAGTCCCGTCCTGTCCCTCTGTCCCCGAGGTGACACTGTCCTGCTCTCCTCAGGGAGAGGTGTGTACCATGATCAACAAGAAGTACGTGGAGTTCCTGCCCGGCATGCGGGGTGCAGAGGACCTGGTGGCACAGGTGGAGGGGCTGACCAACAACATCGACCAGCTCAAGGGGCACATCGAGAACGAGGTGACTCTGGGGGGACATTCTGCTCCATTTCATCCCAAATCTGGAGCCTCCACCCCATCGTGGGCTGTTTGGTCACAGCCCCAAACCTGCCAGAGCTCAAGGAGTGTCTGGACACCACTTCCATGGTGGGATTTGGGGCTTGTGGCAGGACTCGATGATCCTGGGGGTCCCTTCCAGCTCAGGAGATTCTGTGATTCTGTGACTAAGATCCCTGGGTGATAATGATGCCTTGGGTTTTAGCTTTTATATTTTTCAGAATCTCTGCTGCTTAGTGTGTAACTCTGAAACTTCATATTAGGTGTTAGTAAGTTCTCTTCACAGGGTAGTTAGACAAAACACAGGAATAAAAAAGATGGAGTTTTTTGTCTCTTCACCAAATTATTCTACGAACAGAAATAAATGATGAATGAAATTTAAAGTAAGAGGAAAACGTGTGTGTTAACAGCTGCTGTCAGGGGACTGAAAATGTTGTCATTTTAGGTCCAGCGAGATCTAAACGTTGCTGGTGCTGAGTTCACAGAGCTGAAGCAGCAGCTGGAGAGGGACACGCTGGTCCTGAGTGTCCTGAAAAAGCTGCAGGAGGTGAGGAGGGGTGAGGAACAAAGGACTTCCAAATGACAAATCAGTGTGATTATGCAGAAGCTGATTTATTGTTTACCTTATACCCTATTTGTACATTCTAAAACTACTGTCTGTGCTATCATGCATTTTTTATTTGGTGTCTCTGTCTTGTCCATGAGCTCTGCACACACCTTGAAGGAAATATGATTGGTTACAGTCCAGTGCTTCACTGCCCAGCTTTATCTTGGTTCTTCTAATCTTGGTATTCTGTTTTCCAGCTTCTTCTCTCCCAGTTTAGCACAGTTTATGTTTCAGTAGCCTTGACAAATTCCAGAGTGTTTGATAAAACAGCAGAAAAACAGCTAAAAATTGATAGGCTGGTGCACCTGCTATAAACTATGGCCTAAACTATTCAAATACAAAACAATCCTGCTCCTCAGTGTGAGACATTACTGTGGGCTTCTGTTTTGGATGAGTGTGTGTAGCTTACAGGTTAGGGTGGGTGTGTGCAGTGTAAGGGCAGGGCTGCAGTGACACCTCGGTGTGTTTGCCTTTGCAGTTTGACACAGCTGTCAAAGAGTTCCAGTCTGCCCTGCAGGAAGAGCAGTACGTGACAGCAGCCCAGCAGCTGGAGAAGGTACCAGTGAGGCCTTGGCAGGGCTGATCAGTGCCCTGAGTGAGTTCCAGAGTTACCCCAGCTCTGTTTGCTCTGCCCCCCAGGCTCGCAGCAGCCTCAGGGTCCTGGAGTCCCGCAAGGGCTTTGAGCTGAAGATCCTGAAGGCCCTGGGCAAGGAGCTCGTAGTGCAGACACAGAACATAATCTACCATCTCTGGCAGGAGTGGCAGAAGCTCATTGTGTGGAAGCTTCCCCCTTCCAAAGGTGCTCACAGGGTTTTTTTTCCCCCTTCTTTCTGCCACACTGAAGTGCCTGTTTTCACCTGCAAGGTGGGACATGCAGTAAAGCTGTTGGGCTGAGGGGCTTGGATGAGCTCCTGCTCTGGGGAGGGACAGATCTTTGCTTCTGCTGTGATCCTGTGACAGCCCTGGGTGTGCTTTGGTGCAGGAAGCAGCAGCCTGGAGGCCGTGGTGCTCTCGGAGCTGCACCTGCACACGATGCCACCCCAGGACAAGGACACTGCTGTCCCACCCGTGGCTGCTGTGCTGCAGGCCTTGGCTGTCCTGGGAGAGCTGCACTACAAGCTCAAAGATTTTGGTAAGAAAGAAACAGCCCCAGTAGCTCAGGGGGATAGTTCAGGCTTGTTTTAGCACAGTGAGATCCATTTCACTCCAGCAGGACACTGGAAAACTTTTTCCTCTCCTGGCTTATGTTTCCCACTGAGGTGAATGCTGTAGCTCATATTTATAGGAAAATATTTATCCCATTATCTACTTGGAATTATTTCTCCTTTTCCTGACAATTCAGTGTACTTTTGATCTATGACTATGTGGTTTTATAGCCTGATGCTTGAAGAGTTTTACCTCATTAGTAATTCCCTGATAGAGCTGATCAAGGGATTGTTCCTTCCGCTTCTAAAGCCAGAACAGTCAGGGCTGGAGCTCACTGGAGCAATCTGCTGTTGGAAAACCTCTGTTTTTCCCTTTCCTCAGGCCACTTTTTGCTGCAGTACATCCTGAAGCCGCTGATCTTGCACCCATCTCTGGAGCCAGTCTCAGAGGAGCAGCCAGATGTGTTCATCCTGAGGTTTGGGTCCCAGGAGCTTGCCTTGGATGAGGCCTCTCCTATGGAGGTGTTTGACAAGATCAAGCTGGTTTTTGAAGTTCTTCACAAATATCTGCTAAGTAGGTAGTTCCTCTCTTTTGGCATTAGTTGTGATCAGTACCTTGTTCATTTAAGGAGAGTTTTGTAGAATATCTGATTGTTAATCAGCATTATGTGCAAGGAAAATGGAGGAAAAGCTTTTGAGCTGATGGAGGGTCTGGCCCAGGAGGCAGCTGTATTAAAATCCCATTTTTCTTCTCTGGAATGCAGATGTGCCTCTGGAGCAGCCTGGGGAAGGCAAAGTCACCCTGGCAGAGCTGCTGGGGGAGCTCATCTGGGAGGAGCTCTCAGACTGCCTCATCCACAACTGCCTGGTGAAATCCATCCCAACCAACAGCAGCAAACTGGAGCAGTACAAGGAGGTGGGTCCCAAAAAACCCCTCAGGTTTGAGCACAGGGGCCCAGGCATTCCATTGGTTTATGCCCTCCAAAACCTCGTTCATCCTTTGCTTTTGGCTTTTATACCCAGTTTTACTTTGTTGCCTGATTTTAGGAGAGTGTGCTAACATAGAGCACATCTGCTCTCCTCAGGTGATCCAATCCACAGAGGAATTCGAGAAAGCCCTGAAGAAGATGCAGTTTCTGAAGGAAGACACGACTGCCTTGCTGAAATACGCCTGCAACGTCAATTCCCACTTTGCCAACAAGAAGTGCCAGGATGTGATCATGGCAGCCAGGAACCTGATGACCTCAGAAATACACAACACCGTGAAGGTGACTGGGGATGCCTCACACAGTTTATCCATCTGGAAAACAATCTAAATATTTTTTAATAGTGCTGCAGTGTTGTGTATATCTTAAGTCTCTGTCAGAGCTCCAAATTCTGTTACCCTCTCTCTTGTTTTCCCTTAGATCACACCTGATTCTGGTGTATCCCTCCCAGAGCTCCCTGATCCTGGCTCAGGAGACCACTTGAAAATGCACAGAGCCTCGAACCTGCACAGTGGGGTGGTGAATTTGGGCAGTGAGAGGAGGCTGAGCCCTCTCACCCTGTCCCTGCCCACGTGTCGCATCAGCTCCTCGGTGCAGCAGCTCGTGGATCTGGCTTATCACACCCTGCTGGAGGCCACAGCCAGCACAGATCTCTGGTAGGAATTCTTTGGCATTCAGTATTTATTAAGTCAATATTTATTTATTTATTTAGTAGCTTGTGTGTTGGTTGGCCTCTAGCAACACCAAGCATCTGGTAATAGACTTAAAGAACTTTAAAGAGTAGAA